GAGTTACTAAGTGAAAACAAAACAAAATGTCAGTTACTAAATAATGTAACACAGTATGAGTTACTGAGTAAAACTTGAAGCATTAGCTGCTTAATAATAGAACACAATATGATTTCTGAGTTAAAGTGAAATATATCATCATTTACTAAGTAATAGATCATAATTCCATCATTTGCTAAGTAAGGGATCATAATATGAGTTACTGAGTGAAAATAAAACAAAACATCACTAACAGAACACACATTAGTCACTGAGTGAAACTAAAACAAAGCATTAGCTACTCACTAATAGAACACTGCATGAGTTACTGAATGAAAGTAATAAAAAGCATCAGTTCCTAAGTAACCAAACATAGGTTGAGTCATTAAGTGAAATTCAAACCAAGCATTAGCATAGGTGTTACCACACTTATACTGGCCATGCATATATTACAACCTTTTCCTTACATTTTGACTGTTTAGTGACACTGCATACATCACAGATTTTCCTTGTGCACATGTGTGACTACAGTTATAACTACATCCCAACCTTTTCCAGTCAAACTGTTATCACAATCATACTAACCTTACATAAGTCATAAACTTTAATATAAAAATATGATAATACAGTAGGCTCTCCCTGAGTGACGTTTTGTCTATCTTTACCATTATAAAATATTTCCCAGCCAACCACTCCCTAATTCCATACTACAACCACTGAAATCAGTCCCAAGGCAATTGTTGACTTTCCATTTTGTGACTGCCCACTGTCTGTTGTTGTTTTTTTTTACGATAAACATTAACAGGTATGATCGTTGTAGATTGCAATCATGTTCAAAATTTGACAACACTCAGTTCGTGCCACTTTTAAGTTACTCTGGTGGTGTTTCTAATTATATTTTATTGTTTTATTGTCTTTTGGACCATTATTTTTAAACTTCCTGCCATAAAAAGTTTCAAAATATGTGGTAACATGAAGCAAATGTTACACCGTTCAATTTACATAAAGCTTATGCTACTTGAGAGCTGTTAGTCCTAGCAAGTGTACCTCGTAGAAAAATGTTATTATTATTATCATTATTTTTATTACGTAATTTAACCTTATCTAGCCTAAAATTTTTACAATTTTAGTTACTTTTATATTGATAAATAAAAAACATTGTTTATTGACAAAAAGGGACATTGATA